TCCCCTGGGCCCAGCTCACTCCGGAGATCGCGCCCTGCCCAGAGTCCCCGCCCACAGCTCACCCGGGGGTCACACCCCAACTTGCACCCGGCCCTGCCCCGAGCCCACCCGGGGGTCGCGTCCTGCCCTGCTCCCGTCTGCCTCAACATTCCTCTGGCTGCGGAGCCCCAACCCACCCGCCTTCGAGGCCGCAAGGACGGGGTGAAGCGGGGCGCACCGTCCAGGGCCGTGCCCGGGTGGCAGAGGGCACCGGGCGGGGCGGCGGGCTCGGCCGCCAGCACTGCCAGCGCCAGCCTGACCGCAGCCCGAGGGCGACGCTGCAAATAGCCGCGGTTTCCAGCCCGTGCCCTGCTTCCCTCCTGGCCTTCCGGACCTTTGGGGTTTTCTTTCCCTTCTTCCCGCCGCCCTCTCCTTTTTGCCCATGACCCCCGCCTTGTCCCCGCTGCGCGCCCACCACATCCTGCCCCACGCGGGACGGTTCCTACGCTGGCGAGGCTGGAGCCGGAGCCGGAGCCGGCGCAGGAGACCAGCTCCTGTGTCCAGGGATCCGGAGGTCTGACAATCAGAACAAAAAATCAGGATTAATTGAGCGAGTACTACGTGCCAGGCACTGTGCTGAGCTCTTCACCGACAGGAATTCATGAAATCTTTACTGCACCCTGAGAGGGGTGGCTTCAATTTGCAGATGGATAAACTGAGGTTCGGATATCCCTTAGGGGCTATGGTCACCCCGTTTGCACCTGCAGAATGGAAGTCCATTTTCCTGTCCAGAGGCCCATGCGGTGGCTCTGCCTCCAGCCCAGTGGGCTGAGATGGGAAGGAGCTGGCTGGGGGTCCAGGAAGCTAATTCTGTCACTAATTCTCAGTGTAACCTAGAGCAAGCCCGGCCTGCCTCAGTTTCCGCATCTGTAAAACAAAGGGGATGAAAGGCAAAATTCTGTACCCCATAAGGAAGAACTTCACAACAGTGAAAAACCCAAAATGGAATGTGAGGCATTAGGTGCCCTGTCCATGGGAGAGTTCAGCGGGACGTTGAGTGGCTCTAAATACTCCAGCTGAAATGGACACACAGGCCAGGACTGGCTGGGAATTAGGCTGAGCTGGGGAATATGCATTTTAGCAAATGCAGGGGTTCTGAAGCCATCGGGTTTGGGACCAACCAAAGAAATTCCTGGAAGGGGATGGAGGTATATGTGTTAGGGGGTGTATGCTCCCCCAAACATTCCACACTTGCACTTTCTCATCTCTGGCCTTGGATGGCCTGGACTCAGAGTGAGTGCACGTCTATTAAGGACCTACTGAGGGGGCTGGCAGGTTAGCTCAGTCGGTTACAGCCTGTTTCTGATAATACCAAGGTCAAGGGTTCAAATCCCCTTACTGGCCAGCCACCAAAAAAAAAAAAAGAACCTACTGTGTGCCAAGCACATGTCTATCACAGCCTCACTCTCAGAGAGCTCATGGCATAATCAACTAACTTTCTGCTGACTAGCAGAGCTGCCCTCAGCACAGCTGGTCCTTTGGAGAGCTCTGCAGCCAAGCATCTTCTTCTAGGGGTGGGCAGTCTGGTGCCAGGCTGTGTTGCTCAGTGAGCAGAGCGAGGGCTGAATTTCACCTCCACTCTCCCCCTTGGCAGTCACCCTTGGGCGGGACACAACCTGCACAACCTCTCACAGCAGCCTGTGGAGAGTCACAAGAAATATAGGTGGGAGATATTGGGAAAGCCCAGAAAAAGGGGCCATTTATCTTGCTGGAGATAGAAAAACTCTACCAAGGAGGTGAACATTAAGCTAGATGTCTAAGGATGAGCGAGAGTTCACCAGGTGGGAAGGGAGGTCCAGGCAGAGGCAGGGGCCAAGGCAAAAGCATGGGGGCAGAAGTCTCAGCCTGTCCTGGGAGCAGGTGGTGCAGTGTGTCCAGGGCAGGGAATTGGGGGTGGACGCACCTCTATGCAGCACATACCAAACTGAACATAGCTTATCTGCCAACCAGAGGTCTCCTTGCCTGAACCGTGGGACACTATAGGACAGGGACAATATCTTATTCATTTTCCATGGCCCAGGGCCTCATCTGGTGTCAATAATAGTAATAACCCTAATAGTTATCAGGTATTAAATATTTGTTATCACCCACTGTGCTAAGTGCTCCACATGCATTTCCTCATTTCATCCTCAAGCTTTGGAAACAAGTGCTATTATTAATCCTGCTTTACAGATGAGCATTCTAAGGTTTAGAGGAGTTAATTAATGTGCCCAAGGTCACACAGCTAATTAGAGGCGGAGCTAGAATAGGACTTCAGGTCTTTTTCAGAGCCCTTGTTCTAGACTGAAGGGTGGATAGATGGGTGAATGAATGGGTGGAAGAGAGCGAGGAACTAAACAGAGGAAGACCATGAATGCCATGCAAGGGAGCTCGAACTTTTGCAAGGGCAACAGGGAGACATTGGAAGGTTGTAAGCAGGAGAGACAGGTCAGGATAGGGATTTAGAAAGATCACTTTGAAAAGAGTGGGAAGATAATTTACAGCTGATGGCACTTGAGGTAGGAGGTCATTTTTCTGGCGAATCCCAATTCCCACTTGTGAGGAGCCTTATTTCTTGCACTGTGTTATTTCTCTTGGGGCAACGCCTGTGTTTTTTGTTTTTGTTTTTAAAGATGACCGGTAAGGGGATCTTAACCCTTGACTTGGTGTTGTCAGCACCACGCTAACCCAGTGAGCAAACCGGCCATCCCTATATAGGATCCGAACCCTTGGCCCTGGGGTTATCAGCACCACTCTCTCCCGAGTGAGCCACAGGCTGGCCCAATACCTGTGCTTTTATGCACACACGGGGACCATTGATGTAGGAGAATACTGAAGAAGAGGGGGCTCAGAGCTGAGAAGGAGAGACAAGTGGTAGAACGCTGGCTAAGTTCTGGGGAGTGGCCTCTCTACCCTTGACTTGGTGTTGTCAGCACCACGCTCACCCAGTGAGCTAACCGACCATCCCTATATAGGATCCGAACCCTTGGCCCTGGTGTTATCAGCACCACTCTCTCCCGAGTGAGCCACAGGCCAGCCCAATACCTGTGCTTTTATGCACACACGGGGACCATTGATGTAGGAGAATACTGAAGAAGAGGGGGCTCAGAGCCGAAGTTCTGGGGAGTGGCCTCTCCGTACAGGGGAGCAGAGCATAGGAAGCAAGGAGCCGTACCATCCCCCTCTCCACATTTCAAGGATGCTGAGGTCCCCTCGAGGTTTCCAGCCAGGAAGCTGGAAGATCCAGGCCCCACACACTGTCCCATTGTGCACCTGCCACTGAAGGAATGAAGCCAAAGGTGAGGCAGGTGTTGCGACAGAGTGCTAAGCCCTGGGATCAAATGTTGGGGGCAGCCTGGAAGAGGTCTGGTCCCTCCTCCTGAGCAGCTTCTGTCATTGGCCTTTCCAGCCAGGGAGGGAGGGGAGTTGCAGGAAGCAGCCCGTGGGGTCAGATAAACCGAGGGAAGAAGCAGAATAGCTGGAAGGACCAGAGAACAGGGATCTTCTCCCACCGACACTCAAGGAGCCAAAGGGTAGACCAGAGCCTGTTGGAGGTCTGTGTCTTCAGGCTGAGAGGGACTTGCAGACAGTCCTGGGACACAGTAGCGCTCACCATGCTGCTCTGCCTCACTCTGCTTCTCCTGATGGGGCTGTCTGTGGGCACCATAGCAGGTGACAGTGGAGAGGAACTGGCACTCAGCACTGAAGCAGGACTCTTGGTAACCGTGACTTTGGAGGTACCTCTGGGGAGAGGTTCTGACCAGGGCAGGGGATGATCTATGGTGGGGGGGTGGAGAATCCCCTCCATGGCTGCCAGGACAGCAGGTTGTACACTGCAAGGCAGGTTGTCTGCCTTCCCTCCGTGGGTAGTTTCAAGTCCCGGCCTAGCAGATCTCGAAAGGGCTGCATCCACACAGAAGCAAAAGTTTGTGTGTGTGTGTGTATGTGTTAAGAAACATTTACTTAACACATACTATGGTCTTGGCAGTGTCTTAAATGCTTTATAAATATTGACTCATTTAATCCTCATATCAACCTCATGGGGAAGGTACCATTTCACAGATAAGGAAAGCAAGGCACAGGTGAGGTCAAGTAGTTTGTTCAAGGTCGCATGGCTTCAAAAGCTGGAGATTTGGGTTAAATGGATATGGAGGGCTTTGGGTGGGGCAGGAGTCCTTCCTAACTGAAAGGGAATGGATGCCTCCTAATGCTCCACCCCTCAAAACCCGGTTGGTGGGAGAAGGGTCAGTCCTATTTAATTCATAAACGGCCATTCTATCCAGCTTGCATCTGAAGGCTGCCTTTTACCAAGGCAAAGTGGTTTTCATGAGTTTCAGAAATGGGTCCAAATCTCCAAAGAGATTTTCCAGTTCCTGGCCAGGCTGGGTGACTCCAGCCCAAGACAGTTTGCTCCAGCCACTGACGTCCTGGAGAGAAGACAGATTGAAAGTGACTGAATTTGCCTGAGGCTTAGAAAACAACCCACTTCTGCTCCTGAAAGTTGGGACAAGATGAGCTGTGAGAGGCAAAAGGTTTCCATTGCTCCCCATCCAGGTCCTTGCTGGTCCCAGGAGCTTCAGTGCTGCCCCTGGAGAAACCGAGGATGGAAGAAAGAGCCCCTGACCCAACCCCAGTTCCCAGTCTCCTGGTAGGCAGCTTGCATTACTCTAGGGCTCTGTTTTCCTGTCTTCAGCCTTTCTGGAAAAGGAGACCCCAACCGCTTCTCTATTCCCAGACTGTCAGAGGAAGGACCCCTCATTCAGCATTCTGTATCCCACATATGCTGAGCTCTTGTGTGCAGCAGGCACTGTGCCAGGGATTGGGGATACAGAGATGGGAAGCTAGTCTAATGAATGTCACCCTCTGTCACTGTCTCAATTAGGGATCATCTCTCCCTCTTAGCAGAGCTGAGCAGGCCTGTCTTCCGGGGTTCAGGTTAAGGTCAGAGAAGGAGAGGGCTTTGGCCAAGGTTACAGAGGCTAATGGAGGAATGAGAACTTAAATCCATAGCCCTTGGTTCAGGATGTTTACCCCATCAGCTCAGGATTAAAATGTCTTTGCCCAAGGTGATAGTCTCCACCCCCAGATATGCCATGTTCCTTCTGTGAGGCCCAGGCTCTAGGGGAGGGTAAATCTAGGACAATGGGAGAAGTATCTGGAGAAGAGAGGAGAGCAGGAGTAAGTGGGGGTTGAGAGGGAAAGCAGTCCCACCTTGCCACCAGGGTGCCCACCCGAGTTCACTGGCTGCGCCCTTCGCGTCTGTGTTCTAGACGTTTCTCAAAATGGAGCAGAACCCGTACTCTGGAGTCAGACTTTGAATCCTGGTTCAACCACTTCCTGCGTGACCTTGGACAAGTCACTTAACCTCCTTACATTTCAGTTTTCCCATCTGAAGAAAAAAATTATAGTCCCTACTTCTTATGGTGGTTTAAAGATTAAATGAGATTTGCCTAGTGTTTGAGAGCCTGGTCTTTGAACAGACGTCCTGGGTTTAAGTTCTGCCTCCATCTCTCACTTCCTAGCTGAGTGACAATGGACAAATTATTTAATTTCTCTGTACCTCAGTGTTTCCATCTGTAATGGCAACAGTGGTAATACTGGGGTATTGTTTTCATGGGGTTTTGGTGAAGATTCAATGAGTTAATGTATTAAAGTGCTCAGAACAGTGCCAGGAACGTAGTAGGTGAACTGTTAGCTATTAATTATTATTATAATACACTGCAGTATGTAAAATATGCAAATGGCCCAGTGCCAGCACAGAGCAAGTGTTTAGTGACTAAGAGCTGTTGTTATTGAGATTGTTATTGCTCAAGCTGTCCTCCCTGTCTCCTGGACAACCTCCCCCGCAACCCTAACTAATCCTCTGCTTCTCCAGGAAGGTGCTGTCCCCAGCATTCAGCTCCAGCTTCAGAAGGTGAAGAGGGGCAAGGCGAGCCAGTTCTTCGGGCTGATGGGGAAGCGGGTAGGAGGTAAGTGACAAAGGTGGGCGGGAGCCCAGCAAGGAGTGGGTCTGAGTAGGTTCTGGAACACCAAGCAGAGGCCAGAAGTTAGAGCCCAGGATCTGGGGTCAGTTAATCCAGTCCAGTAGGGGTCGCTCATGAGAGGGGTCGGGTAGACTGTCCATATAAATTATCATCCAACTAGGACACTTTGGAGAGTGTTAATAACTACCACAGGCAGCAGGTGTAAACCCGGGCTGTCTCCCGCACGTGGGGAGTATGGTCACCCTAAGAACGGCCCTCTAGACTCTGGATGACTTTGGGGAGTGGTAGTGAAGCTAGAGACCAGTGTCTCAATGTGAGCAAAGCCACAGGCCAAACTTTCTAGTCAATTCTGTTTGGCTCAAAGAGAACTACTAAAACGAACCTGAGTTCCCTAAGGGCACTCTCAACACGGAGTCCTGTCCTGGGGAGACAAGGAAAACAGAGACTAGACAGACAGCAGTTTTCTCTTTTCTTATTGTCAACATTATTCTTTTTAAGTGGTAATGCTCAGTGTTGGGGAGGGTGTGAAGAAACTGACACTATATAGCCGTCTGTTGGAGGACATGTTGGCCATATTCATCAAAGCTGGAAATGTGCATGCCTTTTGACCAACAGTCTCACTTCAGGGAATTTATCAAATAGATACGCTACACGAGCCCTGAGATGTCTGTACCAAAGTGTTCACTGCCAACTTGTTTGTAATTATAGCAAGAATTCTGAAATAACATAAAGACCATCAATAGGGGAATGGTCAAATTATATTAGGTATGTCCATAACCTTTGTGGACATTAAAAAAGATAAGGCAGATCTGTGGAAGATATGAAAAGATTTCCAAGATATATGGTTAAGTGGAAAAAGCAAGTTACAGAACTATATACATATTAAAAGCCTACTTGTTTAAAAAAACTACATACTTACACATAAATATATTCATATGCATAGGAAAGTTCTAGAGGGAAAAATATAAAACTGTAAACAGTGGTTACACCTAGGACAGGAAGCAGAGATGAGGGGGACTTTAATTTTTACTGTACAAACATCTATATTGCTTGATTTTTTTTATAGTGGGTGTGTATTCAAGGACTGCTTTTGTAATAAAAATATTCATATAAAAATAGAGAAAACCAGCTTGGGACCAAACACTTTCGGCCGCAGAGATGAGGGGGACTTTAATTTTTACTGTACAAACATCTATATTGCTTGATTTTTTTTAATAGTGGGTGTGTATTCAAGGATTTCTTTTGTAATAAAAATATTCATATAAAAATAGAGAAAACCAGCTTGGGACCAAACACTTTCGGCTTTAGTTTTCTCCTCTACAAAATGAGTTTCGGACTGGGTCATTTCGAAGTTCTCTTCCAAATCCAACAACCCATGAGGAGCAGGAAATGGGAGTATAAGAAAATATTTCTTGAGCACCTACTACGTTCACACATGATTAAATCTCCACAACAATATCACCTTTATCACTAGCAGGGAGACTAAGGCTCAGATAGGTTGAGCACTTTTCCCAAGGATGCCCACCCATCTGGTGCCCATGACTACAAAGTCTGTGTACTTCCCACTACTCCACACTACCTCCTACCAAGCACAGTCCTGCTGCCACACAAGGATACAGGGAGTGACTGGAGTTGCACTTCAGAGTCACCAAACCCCAAAGAGTCATGACCTCTTCCACCTCCCCAAGCCCTCAGGAAAGCATTGCAGTCATTCCTTCTTTCTCCTTCCCCCAGGAATACCTCTGATCCAGCCAGGGAGAAGAACAGGTGAGTGATTCCCAGACCTTCCCCTCAGCATACTCCATGGGGAGGGCTGAGCTGTCACAGATCCTAATAAATCAGGGAGGTGGGGGCTCTGGCCAGGGGCACGCCAGGCTGGCATTGCAGTGTGGTTTGGCCACACACTGGGCTTTTTGGTTGTTTCCTTAGAAGGGTGGTCTGTGCATGCCTAGGGAGTGGTACAGGGATAGGAGGAGACAGAGATGAATCTTGTTCTGCCAAAGTTTCAAAATTACTTTGGGTCTAAAGCCTGAAATTGGAAAAATGAATCAACCATCGAGGATAAGAGTGCTCAAAGCTTCAATCTCCTGAACCTGGGAGGATCTTAAAAGTGCAAATCTGAATAGCCTCTACCCCAATTAAAACCCTTCAGTGAAAAGGGGAAAACAAAATGAAAAGAAAACAAATCAACCTGTACCCACCACCCCCTCAGTGCTCTCGGAATCAGGTCTAATCCCCTCACATGACTTACCACATCCTTTGAGGATGCCCTCACCGACCTGACTCCTAGGCCCATGTCGAATGGCTCTCCTTCCCTGACTGCCTGCCCTACCCAGACGGAGCTTGTCTCCAGGGCCCAGGCATGATGCACTGCACTGTCCTGCTGGGTTACATGGCTGGTTGTCCCCAGACTGGAAACCCCCCAGTGGGCAGGCACCAGGTCTGCCATCGCCTCTGTATCTCCAACACCCAGCACAATTTCTGCCTATAAGAAGCACCCATTTGGTATTTGTGTAAGGAAAAGCAGGAATCAGCGAATGAATGAGCCAAGCCATGGTCCTCAACTCCCAGATGATTGAGAAATGACTCCATTTGCAGGATCCCAGCTCTGTCCCCATCTCTGCCCATATCTGGTTCCCAAGACAGTCTTCCTCTGCTGCCTCTCTTTCTTCTCTACCTTTTCTCTCTCCTTCACCAGGGTATCAGCTGGGACAAATGGTCCCTGGCCTCCTGGGCAGGCAAGGACCATCCACAGAAGGTAAGCCAGAGTCTCTAGTGGGTTGCAAGGCTACGATAACTGAGGGTTGGCTCTGTCCATGCTCTGGAGGCATTTACCATTGAATAATGGAAGATATGGCAGATAAACCTGTAATTCCATTGCTCAAGATATCTACAGACAAGAGAAATCTAAGTCAGGGAAATGGAAGGCCTTGAGTGGAGTGACTAGGGAAGGCCTCCAAGGGTGGAGGAGACAGACAAAGACTCCCCTAACCACCGTCCTTGTGCAGAACTCTCCCCAGGCAGAAAGGATGAGGACCAAAGCTCAGAATGAGAGCCCTCACCACATGCTTCCCAGAAGATGTGACGCCCCTTCTTCCTACCTGGATGTCACAGCTGACCAGCCAGCAGGCCAACTCTCTTCTCCATGTGTCTCCTGTTCTCAACACTGGCATTTCACGAGTCCTGCCTGCCCTGAACTCGGACTCCCAGTGTCAAGCAGTGGTCATGCATAAATGCATTGCTGTCACCCTCCTGAGCTGGAGCGACCCTGCCCTCTCTCGCACTCAGAGCTCTCACCTCACTGTAGAGTTAGCAGTTGTGTGGGTAGGCTCAGCAGTCAAGGAGGATGGCTACAAAACACTTAGCTTCGCTGTGTCACTCTCTTTCCAAAAAGAAGGAAATGAGTTGGACGTTTTTCTGAGCATTTGATTCTTTGTGGCAGGGGATGGGAGGTGGGAGTGGGGCTGGGCTATGTTGAAAGGAGGGGAAAACAAAGCAGGCATTGGTACAGAGGGCAGGACCTTGCTCTGGGTGCCTGGAAAGGCTTTTGTGACAGCAGAAGCTGCTAAGGACAGGCCAAATGGCACGAAATGTGTGGCAGCACAACCAGTAACATTTCTTTTATTTGACATGTCGAAATAATCTCTGTCCTAACATTGTTCATTGTGAGCCCTCAATAAACCCCAGGCCTCTATTTTCTTCATCCTCACGTTTCCACCATGTCCAGCGATAATTATGGGTCTGGGGGACAGTGCAAGCGTCCTCCTTGGAGTCTGACACTAACTGCAGCATTTCCCAGGTAATGTACTCTCGTCCCATCCATTCCAAGTCTCCTATCCCATCAGACATCGCCAGTGCCTACCCCCCCAACCCCCCCCCCCCAGTGCTGTGACCCCAAGAGGTGGCTCACTGCAAAAACCCAACTCGAAGTACCAGCACATAAGGCTGAAGACTTTATTGCTATGGTTCAAGTTTGAGACATTTAGGAAAAACTAAATTTACCAAATATTTAGTGAATTTCCTGTGTGCCAACACTTCACTAGAAACTCAGAAGGGACAGGGAATATGAAAGAAGTATGAGACTGGAATTTGCCCTGGAAGACCTAACGGCCTTATAGGAGAGCCAGGATGCACTCGCTCTGTGCAAAGCCCACACCCTGCTCTCCAATTAAGATTCCATTTCAAACCCAACATGTTCACTCAAGCTTCTGTCCATTCTGGTAAATTCTTATTCAGAGGTCACTTTCTCTGTAAAAGATTCTCAACCCAGGAACCACCCATTCACCCCTGCATCGGCATTCCCAATGCATCTTACACCTTCTTCCATTCAGCACTATATGTTATACTGTTGATGTTATAATGAATGGTTTATCTCCCCAACAAGACAGAGGTTCTCAAGGACAGGAACCACCTTATTTATGGTTGTGCCCTCTGCTCCAACAATAGTGCTTGGCACATAAGAGGTCCTTGGAGAATGTTTTGATGAAGGACTCATGTTTCCTGTCCTCAAGGAGTCTGTTACACCCCAGGGAGCCATGAGGGAACCAAACTTAATACAAGTAACTGAAATAAATAATAGCAGCTACATCTTATTGAACACATCTCCCATAGTTCCCAAATTCAACATGTCCAAACACTGACCTTTTGATCTACTGTCCCAAAACTACTCCTGTCTTCTGCATCTGTACTAATGGCACCTCTATGTGCCCAGCTGCTCAAGCTGGAAACCTGGGAATTACCCTCAACTCCTCACATTGAATCCATCCCCTACTTGTTGAATCTTCCAAAATCGATCTCAAATTTATCTGCTTTTTACTGGCCCTTGTCTGGAGGGCAGCAGCCTCCCGATGGCCCTCCTTGCTTTTCCTCTTACAGCCAGCCACCCACTCATTCTTCACCTGCAGCATGACATTTTTAAATGAGAAATCGGAGCATGTTCATCCCTTACTGACCACAGTTCAATGGTGTCCTAAGATAAATATGACATTCTTGCTGAGGCCTCCAAGGCCCTGTGCTCTCTGGTGTCTCCCTTCTCAATGTGGTGGTGCTGGCCACCAGGCTGTTGGTCTTACACACACCAAATGCTCTCCTGCCTTGGGGTCTGTACAAAGGCTGTCCCCTATCTGAACACTGCCCCAATCCCTCTAATCCTTCCCTGGCTAACTCATCTTCCAGCTCCCAGGATAAAGGCCATGTTTTAGACAGGGCTTCCTAGTTCCCAAGTTCCATTAATTCCTGGTCCTTTTCCTCTTTCGCACTGATCACAACTGGAAATGTTCCTATTTAACACCTGTCTCCTTTAAGAGATCATCAGTTCCACATCTTTTGTTTACCAGTAAATATCCAGTTCCCAGGGCCTTTGGCACTCCGTGAATATTTGTTTATTGAATATGTCAGGCAGTCTTCAAAACAATTTATCTTCACAATTGTTATCCCCATTCTGCAAATGAGGATACACTACTTGCTTGATGTTACACAGGAAATGGCAGAGCCAATATTTGAGGCAAGGTGGCTTGACTCCACATACACTCAACCCCTACAGTTATTTGGTCCACACCGTGACAGTGGAGACAAGTCTCAAGCAGAATTATAAGGAGGACCTCACAAGGAATTCTTTTTTAGCTGGGCCTATTTGGTAGGAAAGAAACATTTGCAAAAGCCTGGTCCCCCTCAAAAGGCATACCAGTCCCTCAAAAGGCTTCTTCCATCAAACCAATTTAGGAAATGTTACATCCTGTGTCTTCCTCTTGCAAAATCTCATTGTCTATTAGCCTCCTGAAGATTTTGAGAAGCCATGACGTCAAGAAACATACTCGTATTTAAATTTAACTCAATATTTTCCAAATTTGTTTGATCACAGTATCTTTTTTGCCCATACTTTTCTATTTAACGGAACACACCTCAGGGAATGTTGAAGTGGAGACTTTCCCAGTAAACACAGGAAAGGAGATAATAGAGACTAACCCAGTTGTACTTGGGGCTATGTGTAAGGGAATGGTGAAAGCTATGCAGGTTGTCAGCTTATTCAAAGACTTGAGAGCCTGGATAAATATGAATTTAATCCAATCAGCAATGGGAAGCCACGTGAATGCTGGAGCAGGGAAGTGTTGAAACAGCCATATCATTTTTTTTTTTTTAAAGATGACTGGTAAGGGGACCTTAACCCTTGACTTGGTGTTGTCAGCACCACGCTCTCCCAAGTGAGCTAACCGGCCATCCCTATATAGGGATCCGAACCCGGGGCCTTGGTGTAATCAGCACCACAGTCCCAAGTGAGCCACGGGCCAGCCCTGGAACAGCCATATCTTGATAGTAGAAGGAAATGCTTCACTTTTCCTGATCTATTTAAGGTGTTTAAGAATTTTAAGGCCAGGCAGGGACCTCAGAAGAAATTTGACTGACAGCTGAGATATGCCAAACGACCAACCAGAGCTGAACTGACTCTGAGAGTGCCATTTACATAGAATATGAATAGGACCCCTGGAATTGCTCAAGGTGGTGGCCCTCCTCTGGGCACATCTGGCTGCCAATTACAGGCAACCAGTTAATGGAACTGACAGGACCAAACTGAATTCCAGACCTTTGGTTTCAAAAAATCCCCTTGTTTCACTCATCCATTGCTGTATACCAAACCATCCCAAAACATATGGCTTAAAACAGCATTTCCTACGATTCTCTGGGTTGGCAGGACTCAGCTGGATGCTTCTTTAGCTTCATGTGGTGTCAGCAGGGGTCACTTACGAGGCTGCCTTCAGCCAAGAGTTTGGCTAGGGTTGAATCCTTCAAAACACACAAGTCTGGGTTTTTGGTGCTATCAGCTGGAGCACCTCAATTTTCCTACACATGGTCTCTCTTACGTGGTCTCTCATCAATCAGTAGTTTAGTAACCCAAGCTTCTGGTTTGGAAACATGTCAGCTTACTTCCAAGAGCAAAAGTGGAAGCTGCCAAATCAACATTTCCCTAATACTCTATTGGTCAAAACAAGTCACAAGTCCAGCCCTCACTTAAGAGGAATAACAAACCTCTTATTGGAAAGACCATTCACGTACAGGAATGGGAGCAATTGCTGGTGGTCATCTTTGGAGATGACCTACCACACCCTCTATATTTGTGAGATAAGAGTTCAGGTCTCTGATAACTTTGGAATAGAATAAATATAAGGTGAGCTGTTTCCAGAAAGAAATGCCCAATTAAGAACAAAGACTGGTTTCTTGGAATGAACATGACTTGTTAAGGATAAAGGTGTTTATACCTCACATGGAACATTTGGGAGGAGTTATAGAGCCAAAGTTGTGCAACAGCACAGGTTATTTTCTCCACTCTCAGGCACAAGTAAACAACCCCCCAAACCCCAAAATGGTGACAGCATGACCTGTACCTAAAGGTATTGCACAAGAGGGAAGAGACAAACTAATGTTTGGCACCAGGGACATTTTTCACCACTGGGCAATCCTTTGTTTCCTTCTTAGTGACATTCATCAGCATTTTGTTGAAGATACCACAAAGGAAGTAGGCAATTATACTGGCCCCATCAACAGGAACAGTCTGCAAGAGTCAGTCATACAAAAGTTTGTGGCAGAAAGTGCAGGGGCAAAATTAGTTGAGGTCCAATTCAGGAATTCCATAATCCCAATGAACAGCAAGGGTCATTTCTAGAATTCCTAGCACACATCAAACAGTATTTAGCAAGGTTTTCATACTTTACTTCCATGATATGCAAAACCCTGTATATTTTATACATACACCGCCGAGAGGCTCATGGAAAGGAAGGAAACTAACGTTGAGAGCCACAGTAAGCTAGGCCTTCCCCCAGCTGTCATTTCATCTCACGTGAAAGGACTGGTTATTTGAGCCTCAGCACACTAAGAACTAGCTTAGGACCCTGGACCAAGTGAAGACAGGCAGAACACAGGATTCCTTTCTTCTCACTGGAGATTTTTCTCAGACCAGGGTTTCTTAACACCATGTCCAGGAATGGACTTCAAAGGCACAACTTTCTGAACTGCAGACAAATGTGTATACCTATTTACATAGGTACATTTGAAAATAATCCAATGCTTTGGGCCAGCCCGTGGCTCA